AAACTAGGAAGAAATTAGAAAATTTGAGGACAAGTTCTTAAGGTAAGATTTTGATCCATTGATCTTTGAATTGTGAATTTTATGTATAGTTAATAATGATAATGATATGTAATTACTTTGAGTTTATTGAATTGCTTTAGGAATTGATTAGATTAAGGTTAAAGTTTTAAGACCTATTTGGGGGAAAGTTTGATTAAGTGATCATAGGCATTTAATTAATGTTTAGTTACCTTGGACAAGTGAATTAAGGAGTTAATTTAAAGTAAAATTGAATGAATTTGAGAAATTAAGAGGTTGAAGATGATGAATAGTGATAAATATGAAAATTAAGGAAAATGAAAAATTTAGTTATATGCATACAATTCAAGATTAATGGAATGAGTATTTGATAAATTAGAATGTAATGGATCATTTGAATCGAAAATTCATGATTAAATTAAGAATTGGTGATGACAAAATTTAGTAAGCTATGGATTAGAATCAATTAAAGGATTATAGGATTTAGTTAGACTATCGTATTGAGTCTTTCCAATCAATTTCGTTTTTATTTGATAATCTTATATTCTAATTCTAGAATAATACATTGTTGGAATTATTCCTTATTATGTGATATTGATGGATGATCCATCATTCCGTAGTGATAGATTCTTTAAAGTGGTTGATTCCATCATAACCTTGATTTCGTTCAATTATTTAAATTATACTATGAGTGGATATTATATTGTGTACTATGTTTTTGAGTTCTTGATTTATTCATTCATGCATTATTATGTATGAATGATAAATAAGCAATTCTAGTAAAACCTAGATAGAAACGGACGAGTATAAAATTCGAAATGCTTTTGTATCAAAATGATTTGGTATGAATTGAAAAGAGATTGAATGTGTTAACGGATTTGATATTTTTTTTGAATTAGAACATGAATATGTTATATCCATTATTTTAAGTATCCGTATAATTTTTGAAATATATGTACGGTATTTGAAATATTGATTTGAAAATGTATAAATATATTTAGTTTTCAAAAATGTTTTTATGACCTTAGGAAACCTAGCTATCAAGGGGTAGCCTTTGAGCTCAATGATGTAAGGCTCTATCTAGCGAGAAGAGGGGTAGTGCTAGAATGTATGTCCGCCAACATGCAAAAACCTAGTCAAGGAAGGCGTGACCTTTGGGTGTTCCCTCCTAATGATACGTTATTATCCCATGGGTATATAAAACCTATATATATATGTGTGTGTGTGTGTTTTTGCATGAATACGATACATGTATGGTATGTGTTTTAATGAATTGATATGAAATGGTTTTGAACCATTTGATTTGTAATATGAAGTATGCCTTTGATATGTATGTGTTTGAGAAATGAGCATTGCATTTTGATTTGGATTTGAGAACATCGTCCATAGTCCGTTTTTCTTCATCAATATATTATATAATGTCTACTCACCGAGCCGTGGTTTGCTCGCCCCTTATTATTTCAGTTTTGTAGGATATTGAGAGATTAATAATTGCTTTATTTTGGCTATTTTTTATGAAGTCGGTAATTTGGTCGTGTGACTTACCTTCATTGTAATTCCTTAGAACTTATGTATGATTTGATTTGCTTTATCTTAGATACTATGTAGTTATAGTCGTGGGTAATTCATTAGAGTTTGATTAAGAATATTGATCTTAGATAATGAAATTAGAATATCATTGGATTTATGAGATGTATTAATGTTGAAGAAATGTCCGTTCGGTTAATATTAATGTGAAATGGAAATGATATTTGGTGTTAGTGATGAATTGAGGATTGTAGTTTAGCATCCGAGGCTTCCTTAAGTTGAGGCGGACCTCACGGTTCTCTTGATCCTCATGTCGGTCATGACCCACTCTCAAGGTCGTGACGAGAATCAAGGAAAGAAAATTGGGAGAAAGTGGCGTGAGGGAGAGAAGAAGAAAAAAGGAAGAAGATTCCGAAAAAAAAAAGGATAGCTACTCGTTCCTTTTATACTAACTCTTTTTCTTTTTTTTTGGGTTATCATAATTAACTAGAATGTTTAAATGATATCGTTTAAACATTTTGCACTCTTTTTTAATAGCAAAAATTACCCCTAAACTACTACCATTATAACAATTCAAGGCCTTCACTAATAATTTGGGTTATTTGGAATCTAAACTATTACCATCATAACAATTCAAGGCCTTCGCTAATAATTTGCCTCATCACAGCTTATAACAATTCTTGGCCTTCACTAATAATTTTAGGGCCTTCAATTTTACTTTTAAAAAATATTATCTTTCCTTTGTTATCTTTGAAGGTTAAAGCATTGATTGTTAACTTGAATACTTAAAAAACATCTTTCCTTTGTTATTTTGCACTCTCTTTTTTAATAGCAAAAATTACCCCTAAACTACTACCATTGTAGCGATTCAAGGCCTTCGCTAATAATTTGGATTATTTAGATTCTAAACTATTATTCTTTAGGAAAATATTATCTTTCCTTTGTTATTTTTGACGATCAAAGCATTGACCACTTACTTGAATACTTAAATAACATTGTTTAAACATTTTTTTTTGTATAATAATAGTAACAATAATTTTAAAAATGTAAAAAATGTAAAAATGATTAATAGGGATGACATATCATCGTAATATAAGATGACATGTCATCACGAGACAATATTAAATCAACTGAATTAATTAAATTTAATAAAGATGATGTCGTTTAAGCATTCCTTTTTCTTTTTTTTGTCAAAATAATAATAATAATAATAATAATTTTGAAAAAGAAACTATATAAAAATAATTAATACGGACGACATATTGTCGTAATATAAGACAACATGCCATCATAAGACATTATTAAATGAACTAAATTAATTAAACTTAATAGAAAGAGAGACTGCAATCAATCAAATCAAGAATTTTCAACCGGGGACAAGGGAAAAAAGACATGAATCGAAGCTAAAATATTATTATTAAAAAAACACAAATTCTAAAAGTAATCCTAACAACACTTTAATAGTGCAATCTCTCTTTTTATTCTATTCGGTTAATACAATTGATTTAGTAATATCTCGAATGATATGTTGTCACATATTAAAATGACATGTTGTTTGTATGAACCATTATTACCTATATATTTTTTTAAATAATTTTCTTTCATAAAGAAAAAATAAAATACTTAAACGATGTTATTTTAATTATTCAAGTTAATAATTCATCCTTTGATTGTAAAAAATAACGAAGAAATAATAACATTTTACCTAAAAACATAATAATTTAGGGCTCAAATAATCTGAATTAATAGTAAAGACTTTAAATTGCTATAACTCTAATAGTTTGAAAATTAAATTTTGCCTTAAAAAAAACTAGAATGTTTAAACCACTTTATTTAAACATTTAATTTAACAATCAACACTTTAATCGTTAACATAATAAAAAATAGGGATAATTATTAGAAAAACCTTATAAAAAAACTTCTATCTAAAAAATCCACAAATTTATTTTTAAATCTCTCAAACCCAAAATAATATTTTTCTTACCAAAAACACCTAATAATTAACACTAGTGTTAATTATTGGTCTGTTTTGTTAAGAAAAATATTGTTTTAGGCTTGTGAGATTCAAAAATATTATTTTATGTTTGGGAGATTTAAAAACAAAATAGCGAGTTTTTTAGATTGAAAATTTTTTAGACGGTGTTTTCGTAATTATCCATAGTTTAAATGAAACCATTATCTTTCAAGATATGTATTTCTATCATGAATGATCATGTTTTATTTAATTAATACACTAAAATATGTTATACATTCATCATGTAATTTAATTTAATTGTTTGATAAAAAATGTTGAGTTTTGATTAATTAAAAATTAGTATTACCAATTATGCTTTTTTTTTCCTTTAATATATTAGGATTTAGGAAATTACTAATTTTCATAATCACAAATATTTTATTTTTCTTATTTGTATAATAACCCTTGAGTAAATTATAAGAGAATGACAAGAGTCTCATTTCATCAATATTAATTAGTTAAATTACATCGGTTGCTATAGTTACTATATAGTAAAATTAATCTCGTAATTAATGAAACAAATGATAGATAAAAAAATCTCTAATATAAATATTTTTTTGTATAGTAAAAAAAAAAATAGTTGAATGTTAGTGTTTAAAAGTCAAGTAACCTAAAAATTTTTTTTTCTTTCGAATGCAATAAAAAAGAACTTGACTTGATCATGAAAAAAATAATAAATATCAAACTCATTAAAAACTATGAAATGAATTTATTATTAGATAAAACTATATAAAAATAAAACTCTAAAAAAATTTCTATCTAAAAAATTCATCAATTTATTTTTTAAATCTCTCAAACCAAAAAAAAAAAAATATTCTTACCAAAAGACCCAAAATTAACTAGTGTTAAGTTAGAGGTTAACTATTGGGTGTTTTGGTAAGAAAAATATTATTTTGGGTTTGAGAGATTTAAGAATAAATTGATGGGTTTCTTGGATATTAGAATTTTTTAGAGGGTTTTTCTGATAATTATTCCTAAAAAATAATAATATTTACTAAAAAAATAATAATTTGAAATATAAATAATTCAAATTGATAGTAAATTTTTTTTTTCATTTAAGCATTTAATTTAACAACCAACACTTTGATGGTAAGAAAACATAATATAATAATATTCACTAAAAAAAATAATTTGAAATTTAAATAATTTAAATTGGTAATAACAATTTTTGTCATTAAATCAACGCCAGTCTGTAAATCTCGAGGGACCCTTTCGGTATTTTGTCAAAATCTTTAAGGCCCAAAATTTTGCAAAAACCCGAGGACTACGCTTTCCCTCTCAAATAACCCTCGCGCCTGTTCACTTTTTCGGTTCCCACCCCCCCGCCAACCCTTCTTCCTAGGGTTTCCGATTCGAAACTTTCTCGCAGGCAAACACCCAATTTTTTTTCCCTTCCTCTTCTTTCTCTCACTTCCTCTCTACCGAAACACTCAATTTAACCATGAATCTGACTGAAGGAGCGATAGCGAAGATAACGAGCGGAGGAGCCACCTCGGCGGCACTGAAGCCGACGCTGCAAGTGACGGAGTTGAAGCAAGTGCAGACGAAGCAGCCGCAACAGAGTGATCGGTTTCGTTTGGTGTTATCAGATGGGTCTCATTTTCAACAAGCCATGCTTGGGACTCAAATTAATCATTTGGTTAAAGATGGCAACTTGCGGATTGGTTCTATTGTTCAGTTGAATCAGTATACTTGTACTACCGTTCAAGGCCGCATGTAAGTTCCTTTCTTAAAAGATATCGTGTTTTAGTTTAGAGAATATGAGAGAAAGATTTGTGTTTTAATTCGGGGTTTGATAAAGATTGTTACTTTGATTGTTAATTTGGGGGGTTTGGGTGTTATTTGATTATAGGTAAGTTGGTTTGGTTTTTATTATCAATATGTCTTGTTTGTTGTATGTAAACTGTCTGCAATAGTGTTGATATAGCATTTTCTTTTGAAAGCTTTTGTATGTGGGTGCTTGCGCATATGCCTCTGGAGTCCATGTGGAAGAAGGTAGACTTATGTACGCATCTTGCAGTAGAAATCTTGATAACACTACTTGTTTTTGGAGCAATTAAACTGTGCTTCCTCTTTTAGTGTTATGCTATGCTCTTGCTGGTGACTTTGTTGTTTGTTCATTGAATTCAGGATTATTATTATCCTTGAATTGGCTCTGGTAGCAGAAGGATGTGAGCTAATTGGAAATCCTGTATCGGCTCAAAAATCTTTAGGGCCTTCGCCATCATCAGGTGATCAACCAGGAAAAGTCAATATAAGTCCTCAGTCATTTGGTACCAGCTCAGTTCATGGTGGCATGGTTGGAAATCGAAATACGTCTGCAGCACCTGTACAAAGCCCTGAGAGAATTCAGTCTCTTAACACTTCTCCTTCTAGCAATTACGGCCCAGGAAGGTTTGCTCCAACAAATGCTCCTCCACTTTATCCAAAAGTAGAATCTGCTGCTGGATCGCCTGTATCAGTTCCATCAAGTGGGATGTATGTTAATCAGAATGCAGGCTTCCGTAACCCTAGACCTGAAATTCCACAGCCTCAGCCTCACATAGGCAGTTATTCCCGACCCCTGCAGTCAGCATATCAGCAACCACCTCCGATGTACAGTAACAGAGGACCAGTTGCTAGGAATGAAGCTCCTCCTAGGATCATTCCAATTACAGCTTTGAATCCGTACCAGGGCAGGTGGACAATTAAGGCCAGGGTGACGGCAAAAGGAGAACTAAGGCACTATAATAATACTCGTGGTGATGGTAAAGTTTTCTCCTTTGATCTTCTTGATTCTGATGGTGGAGAGATCAGAGTGACCTGCTTTAATCAAGTCGCTGACCAGTTCTACAACCAGATTGAAGCTGGCAGCGTTTATTTGATTTCAAAGGGAAATTTAAAACCTGCTCAAAAGAATTTCAACCACCTCCGTCATGATCTTGAAATTTTCCTGGAGAGCACTTCGACCGTACAGCCATGCTTTGAGGATGACAGCACAATTCCAAGGCTGCAATTTCATTTTCGTCCCATAAGTGATGTTGAAGACATGGAGAATAATAGTGTCGTCGACGTAATTGGGGTGGTATCATCCATTACTCCCACTACTTCTATAATGCGGAAAAATGGAACGGAAACTCAGAAGAGAACCCTCCAATTGAAGGATATGTCTGGCCGAAGTGTTGAATTAACCCTGTGGGGAAATTTTTGCAATGCTGAAGGTCAAAGACTACAAACCATCTGTGATTCAGGAGGTTTTCCTGTTCTTGCTGTCAAATCTGGTAGAGTCAATGATTTTAATGGGAAGGCAGTGGGAACTATATCTACGAGTCAGCTGTTTGTTGAACCAGATTCTGCAGAGGCTCACAGGCTAAAGGAATGGTTTGCCAGAGAAGGGAGGAACACTCCTTCTGTATCAATTTCTAGGGAAATGTCAACAGTGGGTCGGTCTGATGTCATGAAGACTATTTCTCAAATCAAGGATGAGAGGATAGGAACTTCTGAGAAGCCTGATTGGATCACTGTCCCTGCAACTGTTATATATGTCAAGTCTGACAATTTCTGCTACACAGCTTGCCCCAACATGTCAGGGGACCGGCCATGCAATAAAAAGGTAACCAATAATGGAGATGGGAAGTGGCGGTGTGAGAAGTGTGATCAATCTGTGGATGAATGTGACTACAGATATATACTCCAGTTTCAGATACAGGACCATACTGGCATAACTTGGGTGACTGCATTTCAGGAGTGTGGTGAGGAGATAATGGGTTTATCTGCAAAAGATTTGCATAATTTGAAGCATGAACAGCAAGATGATGAGGGTTTTTCAAAAGTACTTCGCCAAGTTTTGTTTAGTAGATATGTATTTAAGTTGAAAGTAAAGGAGGAAACTTTCAGTGATGAACAGCGTGTAAAGTCCACTGTTGTGAAAGCAGAAAAGGTGAATTATTCATCTCAGTCCAGGCTTCTTCTGGATATGATTGAGAAGTTTAAATCAGGGAATTATACTTCTTTTGCCTCCAAGGCAGAATCTATTTATCCTAAATCAGTTGGGTATAGTGCTGGAATTGAAAACTTTGGAAGCAGGCAAGCTGGACAACCAGGGTCAAACCCTATGGGGAGCAGCAGTTATGCTGATAATGTTGGGTTACCAGCAAATCAAGTGGGTCAGTATGGAAACCAGTATAACTCTAAGTTCCCCATGCAAAGTTCTTCTGGTGCTTATCTAAGCTGTAACAGCTGTGGGGCCACCGGTCATAGCTCTGCAAATTGCCCGAGTATCATGAATGCTCCAGGGCAGTCTATGGGAGGGGGCTATTCCAATAGAACATCTCAGGGGGTCACTGGTGAATGCTATAAATGCCATCAAGTTGGGCACTGGGCAAGAGACTGCCCTGGGTTAAGCAACCCTGGCAGAATGGGAGGTATTTCGAAGCAACAGGTGGGTGGTTTCTGAGGTTAACTGGAAATTAAGCAGCAGAAGTATGTGCTACAATGTTGCATGCCTTTTGAGACGTTATCTAGTAGGTGAGGGGATTTAGCTTGGTTTAATATCTGTATAGGTTGGGGTTTCTGTGGTTCTGTACAGAATTTTGGTTTATCATCCGTATCTTTGTAAAAGATTTTGCAAGGGATGCTATGGGTCACAGCTTCATCATCTATCTTGAAGCTAAACTTTTAGTTTGCTTAATATTTTCATCAGTATTAGTCCCTGTATTATGTTTTCTGGCGGTTTATATGTTGGTGAACTTTGATTTTTCCAAATTTACCGTCTGCTTTTGCTTCCCTCTAGTCTTCTTGTTAAATTGAGAAGCCTAATTAGCTTGCATGTCTCAGGAGTTTGCTCGTATAAAAACCTTGAGGTAGCTGGTACATTGTTGTTTTGCTACTAGCACTTCAGGGCATCAAATTGCTGTGTGGATAACCATCTTGTTAACCACACATTGTCAGATTGTGGTTGGATACTAGAAAATCACTTATCTTCTTAAAATATTCTGTCTTCTGCATTGCAGTTTCATACAGTGCTCGTCTTTAGTTATTGTTTGTACTGAACTTTTTCGTCCAATATGTGTTTTTTTCTTTTTTTTTTGTCTTGTATTATATAGCTAGGGAGAGGGATGTTAGTATTCTAATCACTGATCCCGCACTTCAGGGTAAGATTCTCCATTGTTTCTTCGAAGTTCTCTGATCAAAGATTTACACTAATTAAAGCCAGGACTCCAAGCCAAAATCAGTTCAAAAAGCGAAAAAAGAACTAATGCCTAAACAAAAGCTGAAGGGGTTTGAAGCACCAGTATAGAATGCACCAACCAGAAAGCGGGCTTCCGGCGGGGCCAAACATTGAAAGAACGGTCCAGTACATGGCAAATTTCCTGTCACCTGCTTTGGTGTGCCATGTAGGTTTTCTTACAGCTGAAGCCACATAGCAGGTGCTATTATTCAGCCTCCATCTCTAATCACCGTTTTAAATCGTAGACTCAGTTGTAAAAATGTTAGCAATCCCGATTGCCAGTCACGATAATAAAATTACAATCGCTACAAATCAATATCGTGAGTGTATTAGAATAAATTTATATTGATTCATATATTTTTAATAGTTTTATTAATTAAATATAATAATATTTTTAATAATTTAAAATTATAGAATAATAATTGAATTTATTAAAAAAAAAACCCTTTTAATAGTTTAATACCATACAAAATGAAATACAAATTTTTTTTTTTAAATAATGGTTATTATTCACCAAATAACAACATTATATGACAACATATATCGTCATTATTTAAGTAAAACGTCGTCATATTTTCTGTAACGACACAAACACTAGTGGACATTGTCCGAATTAATATAATAACTGTTATTTGAATCAATATCTCTGACTCACTAGGACAGTTTCAATGCCCAAGTTTGGCTTTCCGATAGCTCTCATCGCCCAAAAAGGGCGTTCTTTTGGTGTTAAAATTAACGAAAGGCATAGTTATTGAAATTCTGCTTCTTCGTGTGTATGAACTGAGCTTAGTGCAAACACCACATCTTGACTTCAGAACGCATGCAGCAGATGAAGAAGGAAAATTTTACAGATGTGTGCACTTGTGCATGCAGAATTGCCCAACAACTGGAGAAAATAAAAATTGATGAATTCTGATATTTTATAGTTCTCAGCATATAAGGTTGAGAATCATTTGATTACAATCGAGTTGCAACTCATGAAACATTGAAAGTATTAGAAATAAACAGTTCGTAATGTGACTCCAAACCCTGGCATTATTCACCACGAATACTGGTGCTGTATTTTTATTTCATTTCACTCACAGTTTGTGATGCTAGTAACAAACATTAGTAGGTGAATTGCCATTGATAGATGAATGGCTTCCACTAGCCTTGATAAGAAGCGGGTCCCATGACATTTCTGTACCACAATGACTACCAGTGTTGCCACTAACCTGGCTTGGACTGTATCTGGCAACGGCAGCAGCAATAGCTGTCTGTACTTTCATGTTTTCCCAGTTGGCCACAGTTTTCAATCGGTGCCTCTCAGCTCTAGAACCGATAATCTGCCCTAGGATAGAAGCTCCAATGGTCAGTGCCATGGCTGTTTTTGGTATCAAAACGGACTTCCTTAGCATGGCTATGAAGGGCACAGCTGCATGCACAGCTGCAAACCATTGTAGAGAGAACTTCTGTGTGTGTTCCTTCCACATGCCCAATGGTACATTTACTGCCATGCCCAGCAATGCAATGACAAGCACCTTTGCAGGTAGTGGCTGAGGTCTCAAGTTTTTAACAAGGGCAGTCCGGGCTAAGGCAGTCCTTGCAGCAACTACAGCAGGCGGACACCTAAACTTCATGCCAGGCGGTGGCTGAAGAGCCGATGCTACTAGTGGGAGTACACGGCTCACAGCTCTATAGGACTTAGCTATGGGGCAGTTGCCTGTCTCCAACCATTCATTTCCCATTGCCTCATGCTTTGATGTATTTCCTTTCTAAAAATAAAAACAAAACACATGGTAAATAAAACTGTGATTATAGTCATTAGCAAGACACGTGACTCAAAAAGTCAAAAATTTAGTCCACACAAGCAAGAAGATATCCGTTTCTATTTATGCATCAAGTTTCACAAACAAACCATTGCCAGAAATCTGTTGCCTCTATACATTTGTTTCAAGATGGCATGTTTGGATCATTCACCTGAATTAAACATGTTCACTATTCTACAGGAACAAGAGACATTTTTTGCTTACATTTGAGTTCAAAATCATTCCTACATCCAAATCAATCATGTTCAGGTAAAAAGTGTGCATCTACCTGAGAAGATGGTTCTTTCTTGTTAGTTGATTCTGATTTCTTTTTCTGATTCTTCCACTTATCATTGAAGAAACCAAAGCCAAACGGTCCACCAAGACCAAATGCAGATAGACTTATGGAGGCAGCTTTTGCTGCTAAGGGATTGAATTGAAGTGCAGGCTCATGTTCCAAAATGTTATCATGAAAGCTGGATTGATTTGAGAGTGGGACAACCCCATCCTTCCCATGAAAAAGCTTAAATGCCATACCAAAATTCGGACCATCTTCAAAAATTGGACCTTTAGCTCCTAGCACCTGAAGAAACAGAGTTTAGAGGTCAAATTAAGGACCTTCACCAGCTTTTGCAACCAAAAAACAAAATAAGAAGGGAAAATAAGTTTAATCAACTGCACTGATCACAATGCAAGGTGCTGCTCATTTAAAAGCCCAACAACTTACAGGATCAAGGAAGTTCACAGGAGAGAACGAAAAGCTTGTTGGCTTGTTGATGTTCCTTAAAAATGGGCATCTCTGAATGTCCTTGTCATCAAATTGGCATTCAGATGTGTCCTCATTTATTCCCTTAAGCAAAAAATCCATTCCTTCCTCTTCTGAAAAAATTTTTAAAATGACCAACTTGAGAACTTAAGAGAAAAGGCAAAAAATAAATGAAATTTCTAATCATTGTCAAAATAGATAAATAAACAAATCCCTAATAGTCCATGAAATCAGACGTTAAAAAATGGCACCCTATGCATCCACAGCAGCACATAATCACAAAAACTTTGTAACATGAACAACTTCCACTCTACCATGACCTTAAAAGAAGATAGAAAATTACAAATATCTCACACCCAATTGCAACAAACAGAGCTAACAGTCTATATTCAAATCTTCAATTAACCTATTACTACTTGATCATAAATCTTGTGAACAATAAAACCAAAACTTAGCTAAAATTAACATGAGCTTCCTTTCTTAATAAAGGTTTCATGGATTCTTATCAAAAACTCAAAACTCAAAACTCAAAAACCACTGCTCATAAAGAGCATAGCTGGATACAGAAAAATCAATCAGAATTTCTCAAAAATAAATAAACAAACTAACCCCCAATTCCAACCATTTAATCTCACAAACCAACCACGCCACCTTTCATTCATTACCCACATCGCAATTTCAAAATCCGATCACAGAATTTGATTAGTCAAATACTTAGAGCACAACAAATTAATGCAAAAAAAAAAAAAAAAAAAAGCAATGACAAAATTCTATGACATGAAACGTAAAACCCAGAAATATAATTGCATAAAGAAGCGAATCTGAGGCGGTATTTTGTTGAAAAGGAAGAGAAAAATCTATACCTTAAGAAGTCGATCTGTCTCGCCCTTTTCTGCGGAAATTAGCCGGAAAACTGGAAACGACGTGTGGTTAACACAGACACCGGGGCTTTGTGGGTATTTTAGGTTGAGACAAAGTAAGTGACCGGTTTAGCAGAATTGTCACGTGGGCTACTCTTGCTGTGGACCCGTGGTCAGAATTAGAGGTCTGTTTGGGAGATAGGAAATGGAAAGAGTGATTTAAAAGAAAAGGATTTGAAAGGCTTGAATTTTAGGTTCATTTTCAAAAATGCTATTTTTTGGAATCTCCTAATGGACTTTTGTTTGCCTTATGTATCCCCTTATAAGGATTTAGTAGGAGGGATATCTTGGATCATTTTTTATTATTTGGCAGAGAATATATATATATATATATATATAATCAATTGATCAATGGTTAGAAAAAAATTAAAATTATAAACACTATTTTGGAAGGGGTGTAGAATCCAAAAGTTAAATTTGGATATCTTTTTTATCAAGGAGTTGAGTGATTATTGGACTCAACATAATGTTTGTTTATCAACATTTAATTAATGTGGAAGAGAAACTATTAGATATATTAAGTGTTGAATTTCTTTTTTTTTTTTTTTTTATTGAATCTACAAATAATTAATGGATCTCACCTTTATGTGATAGGGTGGAGTAGAACTCCAAACATAATAATTCCTAGTTTAGAGATAATAATAATAATAATAGTAATAATAATAAAAACAAAGGAGTTGTATCTTCTTCTTCTTTTCCCCATAAATGTATATTATAGTTATTATTTAAGGGCATAACATGCCATCTTATAAAATCAAGAACTTCGTATAAATAAGATACATCTAACTTTTAGATTTGAGATGTCTATCTAATTAATGTGAACTTTATTAACCCGAAAGATATTTATATTTATATTAGTGATTGTTATGAAATAATGAATGTCCATGACCATTTCATATTCTCACTACTCATTATTCTTAATGTGATTCAATTCACTATTCAATATGAGAAATTGAAAGGGTGATGCAATTCATGCATCTTTTAATAGTTTATAGTCCCTTACAATTCTCTCCTCAATCTTGAAGTCCGTAAATAGGTTTGATTGTTCATTAGTTGATATATAAGTATTTTGTAGAGATTGAGAGGTTATTTGAAATTTTTATCTCTTGTATTTACTTCATTTTATAGTGAATTCATTTTTCTATTATCTTTCTCTTCAATTCTTATATTATTTCTATTTTTTTCATAACACGTTATCAGCACAAAACTCTAACCAATTAAGATAATAAACCATGAGGTATGTATCTACCAAAAGACTTAATCATTTGTTTCAATCATTGGATTGTTTTTTTACACAAGTGTTCTACCAAAAAACCTAAATTATTTAGATCATTAAGAGGTATGCATCTAATTTATTATGCACTTTAAATCTAATGGTACATAGAATATACGTTTTAAAAACCTAAAGGATTTAATATATAGAATCCAATAATCTAATATATATTGTTTGAAATGTTTAAATTTTTTGTTTGTTTTTATTTAAATTTTATCATTAAATTTTATTTTTATCGCTTAATATTATTATTATTCTTTGCATTATAGAATTTTTATGATATCAAACCTCATAAAACTTTATTTTATAGCCCTTGACATTTTGGGTAAGAATTATTGATTATGAGTGTTTGATACCGAGTAAATATTCTTTATTTTTCATGTCTCGAATATGCCCCTACGAAGCATATCGAAAAAATAAGTTTAAGAAATACTCTAAATCGATTTCATATTTGCTCGTGGCTAAATAAAATGACAAGCTATTGATGAAAAAGAATAAATCACATCTAATTGGATCTACTCCATTCCCTAAAGCGGATATGATAATTTATGATAATTTTAGACATGGATGAATATGTGATTATAGCCATGGGCGTAGTCAAAATAATTATTCTTATAATTGTGATGATCATAATATTACATCTCACAATCAAAAGTGGATAACTATGAAAAAAAGAATGAAAATAGATAAAATGAGTATTCGAAAATGAATGTTATAGATATGATATGAATGAACATTGATCGTATACCTTTCGTACACCAAAACGCCTCATTAAGCCTTGTCAAACCACGTTGAAAAAAGAAAAGAGTAAAATATAGAGGCCAATTTTATATATCAAAATAGAAATAATTAAAATTAATAACTTGTTAGCTTTTCTATTTATAAATAAGATGCTTTATATTTTCTTATAATTTTTATTGCATAAAGATAGTGGTAAATTTATTTTACTATTTATTTATTTATTTGGGGTTATGAAAAATTTATTTATTTTATGTTGATGTTATATTTGATAATATCAATTTAACAAAAAACTCTAGAAGAACGATTATATTATGATCCGAAGAGATAAATTTTTAAAGCTATAGAAGAGTGAATATATTATTACTTGAAGATACAACTTTTAAAGACTCTAGAAAAGTCAATATATTATCAAAGCTCTAAAAGAGTGAATATATTATTATTTGAACGAGACAACTTTTAAAGGCTCTAGAAGAGTCAATATATATCATGACTCGAAGAGATAAATTTTTAAAGCTCTAGAAGAGTGAATATATTATTACTTGAAGAGATAACTTTTAAAGGCTCTAAAAGAGTCAATATATTATTACTTAAAGTGAAATAATTTAAAGGCTCCGAAGGAAAAATATGTCATTATCCGAAAGGATAAATTTTATTATAAATGATGTACTATTCTCTTCAAAGTCTCATAGAAATTTATTGAGTAATATTCTGAATACTTATATATTATAATCATTATACCGGGTAGAAATATGCATTGAAAAATTTATCCGCTTTCTCTTCTAGTTTTTATTACAAATATTGAAATGATTGAAACAAATTTTATAGTAAACCAAAAGTTTAATAATTCAAATACTTTTATTATGTGGTGTGACCAGTTGTGTTATTACGGGTATTTCATGATACAAAAAAATTATTAAAAATTCATATGAACATCTATCGAAGAGCTAGAAGATTCTTCAATTTAATGAATTTTTATGTTCCGCATGTTGTCAAGGTAAATTGATGATTAAGCCATCATCAAGAAAAATTGAGATTGAATCTCCAGTATTTTTAGAATGTATTCAAGGAGATATATGTGAATCAATTCATCCACAATGTAGACCATTTAAATATTTTATGATTTTAATAAATGCATCCATAAGATGATCACATATGTGCTTATTATCTACTCGAAACCCGATATTTCCGAGATTGCTCGGCAAATAATTTGATTTCGAACATAATTTTTAGATTATGCCATTAAAACAAGTCACCTTGATAATGCTAATAAATTTATTTCTCAAGTATTAAATTATTATTGATTGGCTATTAGAATAAAGATTGAACAACGTGTTGCTTATGTTTATACTCAAAAAGGTTTAACATAATTATTTATCAAAAGGTTTCAATCGATAGATAAACCATTATTTATAAAAACCAAAGTCCCTATTTATGTTAGGGGACATGCAATTTTATATGCAACAATACTTATTCATATCGGACTCATAAATTGTCGAAATTTACACCCTTCAATTGGTTTATGGTCGAGAGCCAAACATTTCTTATTTAAGAATTTATGGCATTGTAGTATATATCCGTAGTGCTCCTCCATAACGAAATAAAATGCACACTTAAAGGAGATTGAGAATATGTGTTGGATTTGAATCCACTTTCATAATTCAATATGTGAACCATAAATAAGAGATATTTTTACAGCTTGATTTATCGACTATCATTTTGATGAAACCGTTTTTTCAATATTAGGGGGAGAATGAACAAAATAAGCGAGTTGAAAATATTAGAAAAAGAGATTATATGGAGTACTTTATCATTATATCAACTTGGTACAAAACAATGTGATTCGAAGTTCGAAGATAATTCATTTATAAGGTATTACAAACCAATCGCTGGATGTATTCTCAAATCCTAAAAGAGTAACTAAAATGCATATCCCCACCGAGAATGCTTCTATTAGAATTGATGTCCTAGAAGGATAATATATTAATTTAAAGAGTTAATGAATCTAAAGCACGTCCGAAATGTGGAAGATAGATCGGTTCTAAAGATAAAAATCCCTAAAAAAAAAGGAGAAGATGAAAATATAAATAATGTAAATATTCACAAAATGGTCTAAGATATTTCGATAATAAGTTTCTAGAAAAAGTCCAAATGCTTGAGAAGAATCAAGA